TTTAAAAAGTTATCGAATCGACCAGAATTACTGATATCATCCTTTAGAATTCAAGCACATCCGAGCTAAGACTGAAGAAGAGTTATAAGGCTGCCACATATTTCTTACTGAAGTCAAGACTCATTTTTGAAGCCATCACCTTCACGTCCAAATGGATGTTAAATGTGCCGGAAATTCCTAGCAAGAAGTAGTCTGTTTTTTATTGAAATTTTGACCTTCCAATTGGTCCTGAGTTCTATAAATATCATTGAAGTCACCGGTTTGTTGAACCACGAGCAACTTCTGATGTAATTAATGCTTAGTTCTTGTTGGTCTCATGAGCTTCACTTACTGTATTTTGGAATCATCAACCGCATATCCCCTCACGGCAACCACGAACGATCTTTCAGCATCGGTACCTAAGTCATCGTAAACGTACACGATGTGTTATTTGTGTGTAATCGTAAGGCAGAGTAACCTGATTATTTTAGGTAGGAAGACGCTACAAGGTCACAGAGCTAGGCGACCCATGCATAAGAATACTAGGAGACAGCCACATTATTGATGTGCTACTGTCTGTAAGGTGGCAACATCTACCTCAGCACAGTCGCCTCAGTACTTCATGCAATACGGGAGAAATATTACTGCAACAGAGACAGTATTGCCGACGTGTATTAACGGAGAAAATTAGTTCACGGAGGAGGTTGCTGAAAACCCGCTGACCGCTCACTATCAGTTTCGTTCTCCTTAAGGTTCATCCAAAGTTTTCATCAACTCTCTGAACACAGCTCACATCTTGTTTTGCCTGCGAGACAGATGGTGCCTAGACGAGGTTGTCTGCCTCTCCAGCATCGTTAGTTTTGTGTACCTGAGCAATGCAGAAGGGGGTAAAACACTGAGGACACGCGTAAGTTTACTCATTGTCAGGCGTGACACACAGGTAAAAAATACCAATAAACCATAGAATAAAGCTACAAGGGCTCCAGACAAGCTGACTCAGGAAAGGAAGTACATCGATCCAAAACAAAGCGTCCAACAGTAGTCCGTCGTATTTTATCAAACGAACACATCCTAGTGAGAACTTAATGTCAGAACCTACTCAAGATTTACATATGATGGACCAAAAATTTCCGTGGTGCGACTCTGTGCAAAGTTGAATTAAACAGGTGCACTCATCACTCAGCACTGGGTAACCTAATTGAATGGTAGATAATGAAACCACTAATCGTTTAGAATTTCTAAGAGGAATGTTAACACACCACTATCCCACTGAAGGGACGTTTCGTGTTATGAGTCGATAATTTCAGACTTTGGCTGGATTTTTTACTATCTGTGATGTTGAAGAATTTAAAAGCAGCACCATGTTTGACATTGACCATGAGTCGACTGAGCGGCCTTGGATGATCAGAGAGTTAGTTGAGTATTTTCTCAAAAGCAAGAAAAGTATGCCAAGCAGAATGTGTGAAAAAGTTTACCTCCATTGTTTGCTAATTATATTGGTCGTTCCTGCCTCAGTTCGAGTCTTACCAAGAACTTGTTTCCCCTTCCAAATCTGAGACCATCAGAGACCAGTACAATTCAAGCCCTTAAAAATGTATTTCAGTAACCACCTGGGACGTATATCATCCCCCAAGAACTGTCATAGGCTGTTAACCGTAGACGCATGCTTCTACGTTGACTTTAGCATTTATCGAGTAGTTCATTTAATTTGAAGGCCTTTTTCAGCCTCTTCAGGTCAGAGAGCTTCTAGTCTTTTACTGTGGGCCTTTAAACACACAATGGTATGCTTTATTTGATCACTTCCACCCGCTTTATTTCATTGTGTGCACAAATTTTCGAATGGTTGCTGGCGTGGAATGATGAAGATTGAGCCATACATACATATTTATATAACGTCAAAAAAGCTCAAGTCTATCTTCTTGCCCGGTACAGTGGACAGATGCTCACGAAAAAGCAACCTGGCCAAATACGAACTTCAGGTGGCAATATTTAGGAAGACATAGAATCTTCAAAAGCCATCAACTCAGTTCAGCAACGAAGCTGGTCAAATTATGGGGATATCCATACACCGGACCTGCGATAATTTGATGGCTCAATTAACACAGTTTCCACACTGTACAGATGGAATCATTTTACTTAAGACTACACATGTAAAGTGAGCTGTTGCAACCTGGAGTCAAATGGTGAAGCCAATTTTGGTAAAACGAATCAAAAATGCAACCTAAGCTGGTTGTAAAGGGGGTCTTGCAATTTTAAAGCGCAAGTTGTCTGGTCCACAATGGGTCGCGAAAGGTCTTCAGTAAATTAGTAATTAGACTGAATGACCGGACATATGTGTGACTCGTAGAAACGTACAACTCATTTCCATCTGCACACCAATGATGAATAAACTGGGTCACACTCGCAGATTTCCTTATGGATGAATATATATGTCCATGAAGAGTTTATCACTATATAAGTACAGTTTATAGGTGGAATCGGACTGCATAATTTATCCTCGAAACTATTCTGTGGGAAACACGTCTCGGTTGACGCTGCAGTATTTTATCAAACTTTAGTGTCGGCGAACACTAAGGCAAACAGAAACAGAGGGTGGGAGATTTAAAAATTATTGTCACCGCATGGGACATTATAGCGGAGTTTGCTTCATTGGACCATCTGATCGCTGCAAAAAATCAGTTGAGTGCTAAAGAAGAATTCACCCACGAATACTGGTTACGAAGAACCTCTCGTGAATTAAAAGGAAGGAGATGCACTGAGGACCAAATAGATCTTTGTACACATCTAGAACTGGATGAAACTCATACGAGATATTTTGGAGTTTGGCGCGCATCCAGCCACGACGACCTGAAGTGTTTTGTGAATAATCTTGCAAAGCTGTGGCTTTTTTTAGATAAATACCTGTGATACAACCGTATGTTTCATCATTAAAAATGCTAACGTTTACGTGAATCGGGCTCCTTTATTCAAAAGAAAACAAAGAGGCATGAATTACAAAGCTACTGGCATCTGCCCTCCTTAATTATGAAGAAGGGACTGTGACTTTCACTCTGCCCGATTTGAACGTCACTAAAAGCATTATGACATCCTTTATCCTGGAGACTTCATAGAACCTCGCATAGATGGACCAACGAGGAGCACTATTTTTAAACGATTTTCCTTTCTCTGAAAAAGTTATCCACATGCTCAATTTAATTCACCTATCTACCTGATCAATACTTGCGTAATACAAACTGAATTGAGACAGAGGTATCAACGGCCGTCCTAGCTAGTCATCGAGCTAGCCCACCGACAGCCAACCAGACCCATCACTCCTAAAGATGTGAAATTGCCTTATGCAACGGAGATTTAAGTTCCCGACGCTGCTCCACGATCTGAAATGGACACAACAGACCAACATGCGGTTAACTTACTGATGACCGTTCATAGTCCGGATCAGTTAAACCATATAGATTGCACTAAAATGCACAACCGAAGTTATTTATCGATGACAACTAAAGGGGTGGTGGCGAAAGGTATAACACAGTCTCCACGAGAACATACTAGGCAAGTATTTTGGAGTCACTCTCAATACCTTTGTCATACTGTCAACTTCTATCAAACAGTACTCACACCTGAGTTTTCTTTGAATCGCATGGACTCTGTCGTTGAAACTGTTTGCTCTTTTCGTGTGACAAATTTATGAAACCTGAAAATCCTGGATGCCTGTCGGAAGAAATCACCCTTTAGGTAAAAAAGAACACACTTCTGCCACGGCCTTATTACCAGCCGTTCATTCATACTGAAAGCACACGAACCGTACTGAACATAGGTCGGCGAAAAATAAACATTACGTAAAAGCACATGCACTTCGAAAATCTGTCTGAGAGATAGCATAAACACATTGCCCGCAAATCAAAGCCAGGTAAGATAGCCGTTCGCACCAAATTTCTCTAAACAATACCAAGATTGCAAAGTTACGGGTGAGCATTTGCGTTTTTCCAAGTTTATCATCGATTACTCCGTAAAACGTGGCTCAATTTCTATGCAGCTAAACGCAACGGTCCAGCAACAGAACGATCGGTGGTAGTTTTAAAACAAGTTTGTTTACTGGATAGGTATCAAAAATACGAAAGGCAAATCAACTTAATGGGTGGAGTGTACTTAACCTTCATCAAAGACTGACCTTTGTTTTGTAGGCCTGGCTTATTTCTAAATACCGCTTGGACTTCACTACTTAGCTTTCGTTTCGCTCCGGTAACAGTAACTACACACACATGCCAAAAAACGTTTCATTCTTGTCGTTGCAAAGTTACGGGTGAGCATTTGCATTTTTCCAAGTTTATCACCGATTACTCCGTAAAACGTGACTCAATTTCTATGCAGCTAAACGCAATGGTCCAGCAACAAAACGATCGGTGGTAGTTATAAAACAAGTTTGTTTACTGGATAGGTATCAAAAATACGAAAGGCAAATCAACTTAATGGGTGGAGTGTACTTAACCTTCATCAAAGACTGACCTTTGTTTTGTAGGCCTGGCTTATTTCTAAATACCGCTTGGACTTCACTACTTAGCTTTCGTTTCGCTCCGGTAACAGTAACTACACACACATGCCAAAAAACGTTTCATTCTTGTCTGCGATAATAGATGGGGTTAGTTCAACATCTAAATTTTCATCTGCATGGTAGTGATATTACGGCATGAATATTGCAGTCTTCCGCCATGAAGTTCTTTTACGCGGTCCACTCCACCGGCTTTGGGCAGTATGCGCTTTGAAGGCTGATAAATCAAAAGACCTCTCCTGATTGGCTTAGAGGCAGTTCTTCTGTCAGAAATCTACCTGCTTTTGACCCTACTTGGTTTAAATCCCAGTCAGCGCTTGGACACGCAACATATAAACGGGTTAAAATGGTGTTGATAGCGCAGCGAAAACACCGTAAAGTATTGTTGGGTAAAGCCTGAGATTTTCATGAGAGTAACCAGGTGGATAGACCGTAGGGACGAAAAACGGAAGTGACTATCAAGTAGTTGTGTATCTGGTTAAACGGCCATAGCCGATTTGCCAATGAAAATTCTGCTAAGCTGACTCATCTGGCCGCACTCTTTCAAGTTGGCTATTTTGTGAGGAACGCTGTCCAACTTGCCCGCACTTACCCGACATTGGTTCATGTGTGTTTCCTGTAGTCGGTTAAAGGCTGCAGCCGACACCGAACAGCTGCCAGAGTTGTGTTTGGATTCCGCGGTTGAAGATATCGCCGCTGATTTGCCCGTTGCACTTGCTACCGTTGTAATGGTGCAGTTGGTGCTGGTGCTATCACCAGACGAGTTTGATGTTGCGCCGAACAAGCCTAACATCCATTGATGCCAAAAGAGATAAGGATTGACAAAACTTCCACCAAAAGGACGTGTCAATCCAACGACTGCTGCGTCACTACGACCGGTCGGCGGATAGTTGGAATACCATCTGTCGGGTATTGCATTCGTTGCGGTTTCTGTAAATACAGTGGTAGAGGGCAGCGGGATACTTGGAGTGCAGAAATTTAAGTCGTGTTTTGTACGGTACATGTTCACATCCTCCGTTAGACTGTTACAGTTGGTTATGCTTTGTGGACTGGTTGGGAACGTGGTTGAACTGTTCATTTTCGACAGCGAATGCAACAGGGGTGTAGATCCAGTCCACAATGAGTGACGTTTGGAGTTTTCATCCGGTTTCACTTGTTCCATGAAAATTTGCATGACCCTTTCCAAGCGGTTTATCTGGAATTTCATCGCTGCTTGTTCGCGCTGGTAACTTTCAAGCCGAAAGGTCAACTGATCGAGCTTTTGTGTCCATTGTTTTTCAAAGGATGCGAAGAAGAACGCATAGGATTTATTTAACAAATCCATCGAATTGAAGCCGGTATTTGTATTAGAAGGGAAGACAAGTGAGGTGTTGAACGGCGTATAGTGTGCACTGCTCGATTTGTCAGCTGACTGTCCATTACTAGGTGATGTTTGTATGTTGCTCACAGAATGTAAAACATGAGAAGGAATTTTGGTGGAGCAGTTCACGGTGAGAGATCTGCTTGGTGACGATGGAGTGCTTGTAGCACTGGTTGTTGAGAGATTGACATCTAGAGACTTGGTTACTGGCATCTGAAGGCGGCCGTAGGATTGCTTTCCTCCAACCGAACCACTTGCTTCCGATATTTATACCTAACGCTCTAGTTTGCGTTAAGCAGTTTCCCCACTGTATACAAAGCTATCAGCAATAGAAAAGGTGAGGGTGGATGATGGGAGTTCCAGTCGCGCTAGTGAACATTTTTGACGTGGGGTACCGTTTTCCATTTTGACTTTATCTTCCCGCTCCGTAAGCTTGACAGGCTACAGACAAAAACGAACATGCGGTCTTCTGATTTGATCCGTTGTCTGGACGTGTTGTACATTGCACGTGCACACATGTGTGTTAAGCACCCACACACTGGTCTGTGAACTAACAAAGGGATGTCCCCCGTTACGAAAGGCCTCAATCAGATGCCTCGAATCGGTGGTCTCCAACGATACAGCGGCTCATTTCCAATCCTCAAGCTTGACCCCTCCTTCAGAGGGACAGTGAGCGCTCACGTTGCCGATATGTTATACTTTTGAACAATATGGATTTCGGCCACCGAGAACAGATTACCAACTTGTTATCCCCATTTGGAGAAAGCACACGCACAAACCTGCCTGTATGTCCATTTCCCTCAGCACACTCAGTCATACCTGTCAGGTGAACCGATTAGAGGCTCGAAACAACACACTTTGTCGCGCGTCAAGTGTGCATGCGGTCAGCCTATTCGTGCACGCGTGCAGCTAGTGTTGTGTTGCGGGGATGCGCCCGGCAAGGAGAGATTGGGCGTTTGGTTTATGCTCCCACTGGGTGGTCGACAGGTTGCATGGTTACTAGAATGATCTGTCGACCAGTCGACGAGTCGGTCAAAATTTAACTTCAACTACATTCAAAAATCAAACCGGGCGGGATGACTGTTGATTAACAGGTTTGAACATTTTGGTTACATCGCATTCGGTCTAACGGGTGACGATCAAAAGGAATAACAGGCGCACATGTTGGACCGCCTTGCGCAAGCTGTGACTGTGAGTGTAGATGAACTAGCAGGTAGGTAAGAAAGTAGCCTTTCAGACCTACACCCTTCAAACACACACACACACACAATATACCGACGAATGACGACGTTGACAACTGCATCTGGGTGGTTTGGTGTGATCGAGTTTGAGACAGAGAAATGAGGTGCAGTCAGAATCGACTTGACAAACACAAAACCACGTGTAGCATGGGCAAAAATGCACCTATTTAGAAAATTCCACTGCAAACCCAAGTTGCTAAACCATACTGGTCAAGGCTTTACTAAGCCTGCTTTGCACAAGCATCTCCTCCAGAAAAGGTTGAACTACTGGCTCACCTGTCAAGCTGGACCGCTGGAAGCTGCACACTATCACTTCTGTCCATCACTCAATTCACTTTGAAGTCCCACACCAGCCGAACAGTTTCCGAGCCCCAGCACTGACGGATAGTTTCCGTCGTCACTCTACTGCTGTGACGCAGCACCAGTCAAACGGAATCCGAAAAAGCCTGATGTAGCTTGGGCGCAGTTGAAATCACGTGTTTTAAGCCGATGACGTAAACCTGTGTTTATTGACTTACAGAAAGCTGAAATGCTGAAATTCTCCTTAATATGTTTCCCTTAAATTGAAGGTGTTGATCTTCATGGTTCGTCGTAAGTAGAAAAAGTCATAGAAACAATCAAAGAAGTTTCTAAGACGTCTGGCCTTACGGCTGATCACACTGGCTCCTGAAAGTGAATTAATACACAATCGGCTTTTTCAGCCTGGGTGAATTAATCGAATGGTACTTTGCAGGCAAGTTCTGATATGGTTAGCCAACTGGATTCTGTTTTTCTTTTATCGGAAATCAGATGTGTTCCTTGCCTGTTTTCCGTACTGTTACAAAACTGCACAGGTAATATCAGATAAAAGCAAGCCTCTCTTTACCCATTCGTACCCTGTGTTTAAAGAAGGAAATACTCTAATTGTCATTTCACTTGTCATCTTCTTTCAGATTTACTACCACTATTCTGGTAGCTTGTATGTAGAATAATTCATTTCTCATCATATCCAGTAGTGGTTCACAACAGCAGAGAACTGAGCAGCTGTGAAAATAATGGCTAATAGCAAAGGTATCCTTTTGAACTGCTGGAACAGACTACCGCAAGGCTGGTTAACGGTGCAGATGGTTTGTCAATTTGAGTCCAGATTCTTCAACTAGAATTAGTCAAGATACCATTATTTTGTGGCAATCGTCAGCAAGCTTGTCAACAAAAAACTTAGACCAAGAGGTACTAAAGTTTTTACGGTTTCCTAGAGAGGGAGATCAAAGATATCAGATTAGTTATTACTAGTTATTACTAGTTATTACAGATATACTGATTTGCTATCCCCCAAGATAACAACTATCTTAGTCCCTCAAGTGTGGTGTGTATTTCAATTCCGCACGCCTATACGCTGAGGAAAGGGACCAAGTCAACCCTCATTGATCTTCTAACAGGTGATAACAACGAAGCCCGATGCTACACTCTAATGAAACTGTTATGAACCAAAGATCCACAGTGCTAAGCTTCGCAAGAACGAGAATGAAAGCCTCTAAGAAATGTGAAAGTGATTTCAAGATTCTTGTGACAAACTGAACAAACACAAAGTCATTGCAGTCATAAAGCCAGAAGCTTGTGGGAGAAAAGCATTCAGATGCTCTAAGAACGTGCAAGCAACTGGAACTCTTCAAGGTGAAACCAGTTTCTAACAAGGAGAAAATGAAACTAAATTATAGCTGCACAGCCTTTGTGGTTCAAGCTTGATCCGAAATCCAGCAAAGGCTGGTCGACCCAATGATCCAATTACCTAATATCTACAAACCTTACACTTGCTCATATCGTATATTTTACTGCATTCGTGACACGTACACTACAAAAATACTGGAATACAGCATTGAGATCTTCCTTGTCATCACTGACAAATTGTGTATAGCTCTTCATTTTTATTCGTGGGCCGTAGTCTTCAAAAATGATAATTTCCGCAAGTCCAACTGTCGTCCTACTGTGTATCAGTATCCAAGAAGTGAATGCTCACATCTCACTCGTTGACTGCCTAACGGTGATAGGTACTTTAGCAACAGACCATTACTTTCGACTGATGACATTCACGTGACTTTTTGACATTCAGTTGAACACTTTACAGACAAAAACGACAGATTGGTTGGAACAGCGACAGAAATTATATTTTTCTTCACCACACTGGGTCGACATTTTTAGTTACTTTTTAATTCCTCGAAGTTATGGCTGCTATGTATCATTTACCTTTATGATTTTAAACACATTGTGTTTATTCTGGACGAAACACACTACTCATAAGCTTGCTGAAAAATCCTCAGAACTACACTACCGGTTTCGCCCTTCTTAAGTCGGTAAGTATGCATTTTCCGGCCAACATAGGCCTAAAGTAAGGCCTCGCTAAAGATTTGTGATTCAACTTGAATATATTTTAAATCGGGTGAAGGATTAAATATCACCGATCACCAACAACATACCTGTCAAATGATTCTGATTTAATAGTCCCACTACAATAATGTTTCCAATTTAGGACGTAAATATGCAGTGATGCACACAAAAAAATCACCCCACGTACAATTTATGTATACCCATCAACCTTGATTTTTGTGTAGCGCGGAATTTCGTTGTGTTCGTTTCTGAATACGAGTTGGCATGAAAGGTCGCTTTGAGCGGAGTTTTGAGGAGAGAATAACAGACGATTGAAGCTCACGGTGAAAGTCACGGAAAGCGATATGAGGCTATCTCTGCCGGTTTGGTATTTTGTGAATAGATTTATCATGTCTAGGTTTACGGAGGCTTAATGTTTCGATCGTTTGTGATCAGCTGGTATTCAATAGTGTATGGCTGATGAAATTTCGTTTGATTATATATCGTCGATAATCGGTTGGACGATGAACTGATGAAGAAGCCAAAACTTTGATGTTTACTTTTCTGTCTACTTTTAGACAATTCCATACAAACGGGCCTGTGTACAAGCACTTGATTTTATACAGGATATCGGTTACTTGTGGCTCAGGAATATACCATGTGCTACCTTTGAACTCAGCGTTTAAAATAAAGCACCTCAGGTAATTTATAGGTATCATGAGATTTTTCCTTGAGAATGTCTTTGAGGTCGTACAAAAGCTCGCTGGTATGAAATAACACAATCCAAGCCTCTAGGGAACTGGCCCGTTTTAGAAGAGGCCGATGCTAGGTGAATTAGTGCACCCGGGTTCACCTATATACCCTATTGTGAAAGAGGCGTTTGACGTAAACGGCATATAACTTGGGAAGTTCAATGTCTATTCTCAGAATTTCCGCACTTGGGGGCAATTTGTTTCTCTCAAATGACAATGGTTATTTGCGGGAGCAAATCTATTGTGCGTTCCTCTCCGCCGCATGGTGAGATGTCATACCTCTCAATTTTCCGTTTCGCAAATTATTCATGCTGTTTCAAAGACAACTAAGCATGAAAATTTCATTTGGTCTTGCGAAATTCACCCCCATGAAAATTAAAGGTCTGCTGAGTTAGTATTGACACATTGACCCGTTTACGCTTTTTGGCTGGGAAAGAAAGTTTCGCAATAGACTGTCGTACAAAGGATTCCTTGGGAGATGTACTATGCTGTACCACCATACAGCCAAAATTATCAACACATGAAGCTATTGCTCCCCAGGAATGCCTAATTTACTGGACTCGGTGTTTAAATTTCCCTGAATGATTTTGGGACAAATAAGTATGAAGAGTCACGTGAGACGCGTTTTTTCGATAACGAACTCAGTGTGGGCAGTATGATTCGGGAAATCGGAGACGATTTGAACGGGTAACAAACGGTAATATTTAGCCGAAAACAGTCTAAACGGAAATCACATAGTTTGGTGTTGGAAACTGAACGATATGAAGCGAATAACATGGGTCTCCGTTTTTCATTATCATGATTTGACGGTTTTATCTGACCCGAGAAAATCAGACTACCTTGAAAGACAATCATTCTGATTTCGATTACACAGATAGTCAGGCGGGCCGTGCATTGCGTGATTTGGCATTATTGTTTTCCGTGGAACGTGTAGGAGCTGTCTGTTACTATAGGCGAACTTTTTCCACGCCATCACGCCTTGATTGTGTTTGACATGCTTGGTACACCAAAAGTAGTAATAATCGGTGCTAATCGGAAACACAATGGGCACGCACACAAACATGCACAAACTCAGGGATGTAGGTAAGGTTGTTTCGGTCAAAGCATTAGATGGACCATGGCAGAAATGTTGGTCCCGTGAATAATCTGTCCAAGTTACCATTATCTTATGATTTATGGTTCGGTTGGTTCACCCATGCAGAAGAGATCGGGCGCTGGCCATATGTATGATTATTTTTATTATTATTTCCTCATCGGGTTGGCGTAAACAATCTGACTAGCTGGTGTCACACGGCCATTTCCCGACTGGCTGAATGTCAGCCTCAGATCCACAGCTCACGCACGCCCATTTAAGTTTGATGTTGACAAATTGCTTCTGTCAGACTTCGGCAGATGTGGCAGGCACGCAGCTTCCATCATCGCTCGTAGGGGGGCGAATATGGCGCGAATTCTAGGTGAGAATGGATGTGCACGAATATGCCAAGAACCGTTTTTGAGGAAGGCAAAACGCAAAGATCCGTTTTCTGGGAGTTGTTGTGTGAATCGTGTGAGTTCATTTTTGAAAATCATATACTGGGAGTGGAATGATTATACCGCTAATCATAGAAGTACATGCGTGTGGAAAATTTGAAAATCTGCTGAATTCCAATACGAAAGCTTACATTTTGCAAAAAAGATCAAACGAAGGTACATTTGTTAACCAAAGTCAAAGATGGCATTATGACATTCTAAGTAAACAAAACCAAATCAACTAGACACGTTCATTTTAAGCGTTTTGTTCATCCGCGAGGAATATGCGTTTTAGATTATGATGGCTGCTGGACCCGCGTGAAACTGGGTGTCCGCGCAGACCGAGAAACTTGGTGGAGCCGAAAGGTCGAAGAAATGGAAGATGCGAAGAATGCTGGAAACGTGCGCAAATTTTCCCACTTGGTTCTTCCGACTGGTCCTCGGAAACCTCTTGTCAGCGAAATAATCAGGGACAAAAATGGCTCCCTGATATGCAGCAAAGCAGAACGTTTGGATCGCTGGGCACAGTATTTCGAGCAGCAGTTCAGCTGGC